GTAGAGAAGAGTTTTTACGCTAGTTTTTGGACACCCTGTATAACTCGAGACCAGACGAGACCACTCGAGACGAGACGAGACTTTGGGACTCGAGAGAGTACCTACAAACAACAGATGGAACATGGAATCCATCCAATCCCTTAAAGCAAACACCATCAAATGATACACAGACGAGAGGGTTCCAAAACTGTTGAGGGAATTGGAGCCGGAGTATTCAGACCACGGACCAGATACTCGTAGCCAATGGGTAAATCACCAAGCATATTTTCGTATCTATGATAATAGGGCATCTCCCTTCGGTTAAATAAACTCAATCGTCTTCCAAAAAAGGCTCATGGGCTTCAGGAAAATCATTGATCACGTTACATTTAAATAACATTCCATTGAACGAATTATTCGTTGGTAGACTGCCCTCTCATCTTCCAAAACCCCTTATTTTATGTTAGTCGAGCAACCATGGTGCGTGATTGCTAATTACAATAACTACCGGTGAACTGTCGTTGACATTGACCTTCCATGGGTTTCAGTTCCTTGTACGTACGAATTAATAATTCAATAATTAGTTCAACTTGCAATGGAATGTTATTTAAATGTAACGTGATCAATGATTTTCCTGAAGCCCATGAACCTTTTTTAGAAGACGATTGAGTTCAATTAACCGAAGGGAGATGCCCTATTATCCTAGATACGACAATATTTCAAGCGGAACTTCATGCGATCGAAAGATGCGTGCAGTTCAACCTGAACCGAAGTTATCGGAAACCAGAGATTGTAATAATATCTGACAGCCAAGCAGCTATCAAAGTATTGAGATCCCCGGTCATCAATTCTAAGACAGTATGGCAATGTCTACAGAAACTAAATGAGCTGGGAAAACAGAACCTCTGGGTGCCCGGACACATAGGTGTCGAGGGCAACGAATGCGCAGACAAGACTCGCAAGAACGGGAGCGTTTACTCCGTTCACTGGGCCAGAACCATTTTGCGGCTTCGGAAATGCGCACTTCCAAGAAATGCTCAAAAAAGGAGAGATGAGAACCGGCTAAGGAACAAATAATGGATAGAAGAGCCAGGACTACGACAGGTCTAAGATCTATTGGGCAACTTCAACCAAAGAAGATCAGAACTGCTGGTCAACCTTCGCAAGAAAAGTCTCAAGACTCTAACCAGGTTTCTCTCGGGACATTGCAGACTGCAATATACTGCAATTTCACTAGTCTACTTAGTTTTTCCAACGAACATACGTTCGTTTGTGTTTGGTAATTTGAGTACTAGTGACCCGCTCCTCGAAAAGATCTGCAGTTTCATTTTTCAGAGCATTTTGACTGAGTTGGAAAATAGCATTTAACAGATATAAAATCTGTCCAATGTAGTCTTTATTTAGTTCAATGAAAATGTGTACAAAAATACAAGCTGATGCAGATGAGGAGTATGATTACTTAAGAAACCGGTTGATACAGTAAACTTTGATTAGGAAGAGAACCCACTGCAGAATTTATTCGTTCGGATGATAATTCTTTACCTCATGAAGTCCAAATGGTTTTCCATGATCGAGTCAATTGGAAAGATTTATAATACCAGCCAAACATTTTTCTACAGCAGTGAGCTTATAAATTGGCGCAACAGTATTACTCATGCCTCGGGAAACTTCTCAATTAGTTGGATGAAAAATGCTCTACAGCCTCAAATGTGTTTCTAAATCATGCCAGGAACATGGATGACAGCGAAAGCAGTCTTCCTCCCAAAGCTCGGTCAGGAAACATACAGGGAAACGAAATCATACCGACCCTCATAGATAGGCACTTAAGAGACTTTTGCGATTTCCCCTATGCAAATAAAAACATGCCTACCAACCAGGGAAATCATGTCAAGTGAGTCAAGACATGGAGTCGACAATATTACCTGCAGGTGGATAAGAACAACCTAAGCCTCTTCGAAGAAAGGATTATACTAGTCGACGAAGTGAAATACCTAGGTCTAATTTGGGACGTTAAGTTAACATGGAACTCACATCTAGAGAGAAACCTCAACAAAGCAAAAATGTTTCTAGTTAGATGCATCTCTGATGCAAGGATGATGCTATGGGTGTACGACACGGTTATCAGGCCCATAGTTGTATACTGAGCTGCAATATGGTGGACAAAAGCACAATAACTATTAATAAACTGAACAACCTTTAGAGACTGGCATGTCTGTGCGCCACCTGTGCTATTAGAAGCACACCCACTGCAGCGCTGGAAGCAATTCTGGGTTTAGCTCCCCTCAAATGGCAGCCATATTCACGACCACTGGATGGGACTGCCGAGGCATGGAAAGAAAAACCAGGCAACTTCGGCTACGCAAAGGTTATGGACCTGATGGACGATAACATAGTGGACATGCAAACAGATCAAATGGTGTTGACCCATAAGTTTGAGAAACCAATCAAAGTCATATGCGATCCAAGTATATGGCAGGAAGGAACGTCTCATATAATAAGAAGAGGCCTGGTCTGGTATATAGACGGCTCCAAAACAGCAGAAAGAGCTGGCGCTGGCTTATATGAAGAATGACCAAGATCAGAACAAAGCATCCCTCTGGAGCTTAACGCCACAGTTTACCAGGCAGGCATTCATGCAATTCAAGCATGCGCATAGGAGATTCTAAAAGTACGGTTTGTTAGAGCAGCAACTCACATTCTGTCGAACGCCGCGCACATCTGCTAAAATTAACCGAGTGTAAATTAGATTGACCGGTTTGTTGGCGTTGTGCAGGTGAGCGCGACGTACAGCGTCAGCAGTGTGTCAACATCGTGCTAAATAGATTCTGCTGACGTTTAAGTTGTGAGTTGTGCGTCGCGCACTGTCCTAAGAAACCGAACCTTTAAGCTGGATTATGGCAACTAGAACAGACAGTCAGGCTGCTCTAAACTCACATCGATTCACTTCGAAAATAACGATTGAATGCCTACACGACCTTAGAAGCTTAATCTTCAAGGAATAACATAATAAAGCTCCTGTAGGTTCCTGGGCATTCGATGATAAAAGGCAAGGGAAAGGTTGACGAACTCGCCAGAGCGGACGCAGCTGCACCCAACACAAGACGAACACGCATTTGTGATATAGAAGTAGATTATAAAGATGGCAGTTAAAAGGTGGTCGAGCCATCAACACTTCGACTATTGGCGGTCCATACCTGGAGCAAGACTCTCGAAGGGGATAATTGAACCCCCTCAAAGATGCTTACAGCTGAAGTATTGTCACTAACGCTTACCCAGATAAGATAGTTGACACGACTACTAACAGCGGACTGCCATATCAAAGCGCAAATGCAGAAAATGGTAGTCTACAATGGCCTGACATGTAGACTGTATAATGAAGAAGAGAAAACCGCCTCACACATATTACTATGAAGCACTGGCTAGCCGAATACACAATATTTGGAGGAATACAACGCGACGTAAAACTCCCGCAGGAGAAACTTGCCAGCAAGCTGCTAGATCTCATCAAAGGAACGGAAATTGCTTAAGCACAATAAGCCTTAAAGCTGCAGTGCAAAGTGCAAATCAGGACACGAGCCCGCCTGACCCCGTCTTAAACCAACCAACCATCGAACAATCATTGGATAGTTAATGAAGGCGTAAGCCCACCCTTTGTGCTATACAAACCAACACAGTTGTTTCTACTATTAAATTGGTCCGATAGGCTTCTGTTTTTCTTTGAATTTCCTTGAACGGTAATTTTATCTTGGACGACAATTTAAAAACAGAAGGATGAAGGTAGCGAGTTGCTATAATATTTTTTTAACAAACATAGCTCTTCTAAAAATTACTTTTCATGATACTGTACCGTTATCTTAATATTATAACATGAGCGAAATTGAAATCGAAAAGGTTTATTTAACGGCCGCCGGCAAATAACAGCCTTGGCTGATTATAATCCTCGGCTATCGCATCGGATCACAAACTTCAGCTCGGCCGTTATTTGCTACTTATCGGCCTTATAACGTTAATAACTATAACTTCCACTACCTATATCATCTCATTCATTAGAGAGACTATATTGTAATTGGTTAGACTATTTTAGTTACGTACCCATTTTTTTTATAGTTTGAACATCAATATTAGCAACCAAAATACCAAAAAAATAAAAATATTAGTAGATTGACTGTGAAAGTGAGGTAGAGTAAAAAGTTGTGTACGTGAGTGATTGTGGAAAAAAAAAAGATGTTCACATCATCTGGCACATGAACAAGAATGAAATAACCTTCAAGCATGTTGGGTGTTTTCATGAAGTAATTAGATGTTGTACAAAGTAATTTTTGGATTGGCCAGAGTAATAATGACTATAAACTGGAGTAGCGTGATTTTTAGATCAAAGTTTCTTTTTTTCCAAATTTAGGAGCAAATCTTTGAAAGACTCATATCGAAAGTGAAACAATCTTTGATATAGATTATCTACGGCCTATTGAGTAGTCTTTTAGGTTTTGATGAAACTAAATGATCTAAACATCGCGAAACTTCGGGGGCACAAAAAAAAAAGTAAGCCCAAGAAAGATAGAATGATTCTTGGTGATGTGTCGATGACGGTGGGCGGTGGTAAAGCTGCGCGTCCGGTCACGGTCCTGGTCTTGCAGGAGCTGCAGGCGGCCAACGAGACATTGCGCACGCTGCAATCGCAACTAGAACTGGTGCCCTCGCCATCCAGCAGCACCATCAAGGTGCTGCTGGACACCAAGGACGCGAGAATCGCGACATTGGAACGCGAGGTGCACCTTCTGGAACAGGAGGTGGACAGGCTCGCACCGCCTACGTCCTTCATGGATCCGCCAGTACGACGACAAGTAAGTTTTCTGTTAAACGATGTGCAGATCGGCAAGGATGGGTCCGTGATTGGTAGACTGTAACTAGCTGTAAAGACACTCCGGTCGCTCGCTGGAGAGCTCAGTTTTACCACCTCACTGTCTGTCGGCACGCATGTGTCCCGCATGGTCAGTGCATGCATCCGCTCGTGTGTGCTGCAGCTCGACGAGTTCCGAGTGGAGATCCAGAGGCGAGACCAAGAGATTCTCGCCATGGGCGCCAAGATGAAGACCCTCGAGGAACAGCACCAAGACTATCAGCGTCACATCGCCGTGCTCAAAGAGTCGCTCTGTGCCAAAGAGGAACACTACAATATGCTCCAAGCGGACGTAGAAGAATTGCGAGCAAGGCTTGACGAGAAGAACAGACTGATTGAGAAAAAGCAGCAACAACTTCAACAAGATAGAGGAAGAGCTGGGGCGGAGATTACAGAAATGAGAGAGCACATGGATATAAAGGATAGAAAAATTAATGTATTGCAACGAAAGGTGAGCTTTGTTACTTTTTTTTTACTTTTCACTATTTCCCACTTGCTTGTCAAGCTTCCTTAGATGATTTGTTGATTTACCTAGCTTATTTTTTTATGTTAAGAACTGGTTAAAATGCTCTGCTGCCATCGTCTAAAATATCGTGGTAATTACTCTAGTTCACATTTTTTTTTATCCTAATGAAATATGGTGCTGTACTTGATCCAAAACTAAATCCGTTGCACGTCATCAGCCCGCAAATTGACCCTGTTGCCAAGTTGTGTTTTTTTTTTATTGACTATAAAGCAATATTGAAATTCTTCTGGTTTCAGATCAATATAATATGCACATAAATTCAATAATAATTGGTTAAACAAATTCGGCATCTTTGTTGTCTGAACCAATCTGGTTCAAAATTAACAAAAGTTTGAACTTTGCTCGGACGAAAGGGATAATTTGGATCCCAATTTATGTTAAAAAAAGTGAGGTGAAAAACTAAGTAAGAAAATTTGATGGGAACGATGAAGTAATATCTTTAATATCAATTATTAGTGAATTATAATGGTAATTATATTTTTCTTAGTGGTACGAAATTAGTAATCTGACGTTAGTTTGGAACCAACTAAAGAAGGTTATCTATAAAATTAGAGTGCAAAGTTCAGTGTTTATTCAAATGTAAGTATAATATCTTTATCAATTTCCACTAAACCTTACTAACAAAAAACTCTTGGAAAAAGCAATCATTTGCATAATATGCTAACAAGAATTATGCAAAAGTGCTCTTACTATGTAATTGGAAATCATCGATGTTTATTTTATTTTCACAAATGACGAATACAAATTGATTTGTTCCACTTTAAAGTTATTTAATTGATAAAGGAATTTGCTGCGCCCATCCAGAGGTACTTCAACAAAATAGTAATTGACGACCGGTCATTATTTATCTACATATTTATGCAGTAATAGAAATAATTGTTTACATTTGCAGTGAGAAATTCAATATTAATTCAAGGATTTTATTTAATGGTGCAATAAAGTGTACAAAGTACAAGTTTGTGTTCCACAACTCAAAAGACATTCACTTGTTGCAGGAGTTGAAAGATCTGGAATCAATCGCTCAATCGCTTAGTGCTTCAAAAAGTTCTCACATTTCGAAAGTTTAATTAACATTGAGTAACCATGTTACTTCGAAGTATCTGACGGAGACAATAATTTAGCAACTAGTTAGTCTGATGTGCCAAGTGAAATCTTGGTATAACTTCTAGTACCAAGCGACCGATCTGACTGAAATTCTAGTATTCATAAAGCTGTAAGCTTTGTCTCCCAATTCATTTATTCTTCTTTGATCTCCCGAACAGATAAGCAGATTCAAGATAATATCACAAAAATCATGACGAAGCTAGTACTAATACGACACTTCGTTTCGCTTCGATCAAAGTAAACTAAGGGCGGGTATTATAAAACTGCTTTGACAGTTAACTTGAAGTTAACTTTTTGAATTACATGTAATTCCAGAAGTTAACTTTAAGTTAACTCTCAAAGTAGTTTTATAATACCCGCCCTAAATAGGCAATTTGATGACGCATCTAGGGTGCATTATGGAGATTTGCATTATGTAATATGCTGGTGGACAGTTGCTTTGCAACATGGAAAATTTTACCCAAATTCAAATCTCGACATTGTCGGAACGGAAAGAGATATTGCGGTATTCGGGAGGTTCTTGACCAACTCTTTGAGAATACGTACAGGGTTCGACTGGTATATTTCTTTTATTTATCCACTTATACAGGTGAGCAAAGGAAGTCATGTTTTTCTAGCAAAGTTTGGGGCTATGTCAGATTGTCAATTTTAGATCTTGAAAATTATTCTATGCATCTCTTTGATCTTTGGACTATCTTAAAAAAGTAATTTCTCAAATTTTTCGAAAGTTGGCCATAACTCAAATTATCGAATTTGTAAAAAAGAGTTACATTTATCCCTAAAAAAAAGGAGTTTTTCGGGGTTTCTCTCAAGAATGGGTACTTTTTCTCATACTGTTGCATAAGGTGGAATTTCTTGCGCTCGAGAAAAGATTGAATCATTCAGTATTTCCTCCAGTGGCGCGCAGAAAAAAATTGTTACTTTGACATTATATAATTTAAACCGAATTTATAAAATCTTAATGAACAAATCCAAGTTACTACTCTTGATACAGGGGTGTATTCCAGTGGCGTAACACCAAGAGCATTTTTTGGTTTGGTGAGAAGTGCTAATAATTTAAAAATTGGTATTTTCCAAAATGCTATGATGCTGGGAAATACTGCTATTCATCTTTCATCTGGAATTTTTTATCTTTCTCATTCAGCATTGGCGTACGCTTCTGTATTGGAGAAGATGTTTTCCATTAAGTAATAGACTCTATTAAATTTTTAAACAACATCAAATAATTTATTGATTATCATATCAACAATATTTATGTAACATTTGAGAAAACAAAAACCCGTTAAATACCTAAATAACAATGACAAAAACGAACTTTTTACAAAATAGGAACAGTTATTTTAAACAATATTGTTAGTACCTTATAGGAACACCCCGCGCATCGATCACAGCCTGGCATCTTCGAGGCATACTTTCCACAAGGTCATTAATAAATTCTTGGGATACGTTTTCCTACTCTTCCTAAATGGCCTCAGACAGCTTTTCCATTGTTTGAGGAACATTTTATCTTGACTGCACTAAAAATTTCAGCCGAGACCACACATGCTCAGGCAATAATGTAACATTATTTGCTGCCAAAAAGCTTATAACCGTACGAACTCTTTGCGGCTTGGCATTATCATCGATAAAGATAAAATCCTCCCCAAAATCTATTACAAAAGGTGCAAAAATATTGTTTGGAATGTTGTCGCTATAAACCTCAGCATTGACTGTCCTGTTTGAGATAAAATGTTCGGTTCTGCCATTATGCATAACCCCAACCCAAACAGTAATGCCGCCTCTACTAAACGCCTCTTGTGGAGTCATGTTTTCGTCATTATAGCGGTCCCCAGCTTGCCTCCAAACAAGGATCCTCCCATCAGAGTGGTATAGGTTGAACCGTGTTTCATCCGAAAACATGCAATTTTGCCAGTGCAGATGCCAATTTACCCGGTCCTATGCCCATTGGTACTTGGCGACTCTATGGTTATCCAAGAGTCGGGTACACTTGGCGGTACGCCTTGCTGTGGAACAAATGCTACTTTTAAAAAGAACCTAGAATATTTTTTATAGGATTTACATACCTTAACAAATTCGAATTTAAGGTTCTTCTTACAGTACGATTGTTTACAGTACGAAGTTTTCATTCAGGGTTCTGGATGAAAGGGTTCTCCTCCGCCTTACTTCCTGCAATAAATGCCTTTCGACTCGACCTCGTATTTTTTTTTATTACTCCCTCGATGCAAATAGGAAGTTTCTCCGGTATCCTGATATCTACGTCCTAAACGGTATATTGAGGCCTGATCATCATTATAAATCAAAGCTACATCATTCACTGAATGACTTCCCGATAATCTTATACAATTCTCTCGTTCTTTTTGAGAAAGAAGAGGAATTTTTGAGAAAATAAAATTATACTGCCAAGTCTACTGTCAATAGTACCCATAACAAAAGAAGTACGAGGTCGAGCCGAAAGACATTTATTGAGGGAAGTTATTCCAAAGAAGGAATCCAAGCGAGTACACCAATATTGAATGAGAAAAATTGAAAATTCCAGATGAAAGGTGAGTAGCAGTGTTGGCCAGCATCATAGCATTTTGAAAATAACAATTTTTAAGTTATTTGCACTTCTTACCAAACCAAAAAATACCCTTGGTGTTACGCCACTGGAATACACCCCTGTATCAAGAGTAAACAGTTACTTGGATTTGTTCATTAAGCTTTCATGAATTCGATTTAAATTACAAAGTAAGAATTTTTTTCTTGAGTGATTCAATCTTTTCTCGAGCCCAGTAAATTCCACTTTATGCAATAGTATGAGAAAAAGTACCCAATGTTGAGAGAAACCCCGAAAAAGTCCCTTTTTTAAGGATAAATTTAACCCTTTTTGAAAAATTCGATAATTTGAGTTATGTCCAACTTTCGAATAATTTGAGAAATTACTTTACTTACAGAAAGATGCATAGAAAAATTTCCAAGATCAAAAATTGAATATCTGACATAGCCCCAAACTTTACTAAAAAAACATGACTTCCTTTGCTCACCTGTATAAGTGGATCAAGAAAATAAATATACCAGTCGAACCCAGTACGTGTTCTCAAAGAGTTGGTCAAGAACCTCCCGAATGTCGCAACTCGATATTTCTTTCCGTTCCGAAAATATCGAGATTTGAATCTGGATAAAATTTTCCATGTTGCAAAGCAACTGTCCACCAGTTTAGTTAACAAATTAATGATATAGTGGCACAGATCACCTAAATCCAGATGCGTTAGTAAATATCCTTGTCGTCGACGATTCAAAGCTACGAAACCAGGGCGGGTCTATGTCAATTCGTCTTAAGTCAATTCGTTGTTCGTCAATTAGACGTAAAGCCAATTCGTCGTAAAGTCAATTCGTCCTATACGTCAATTCGCCATGAAGTCAATTCGTCGCACACGTCTATTTGTCGTGGAGTCAACTCGTCGTATACGTCAATTCGTCGTAGCGTTAATTTGCTGCATACGTCATTTCGTCGTATTGCTAATTCGTTGTATAGGTAATTAGTCGTATATGTCAATTAATCGAATTTCAGGTATAATGGTAAAATGTATAAATTTACACTTTTTCTGTGTAATAAGACATTAGAATAGAATAGAATAGAACTTTATTTTTCAATTTTTTACAAATGCGAAACATTTTATATATACCCAGTGGGTCTAAATCTCGTCAGAAATATAATACACTAATTATACTTAAAAAAAAAAACAGAAGAAAAAAAACAACAAAGTCAATAACGAGGATTAAAAATTTGACTAGAACTTGAGATCTGTTGGCAGAAAAGCGCATGAACACTTATCCAAGTG